AATGAGTTCTTGATTGGGCAATATACGAGAGGTGTTTGTTGCGAATTGTGACCACTACTACATGCTTTGCCATACAATCACATGCCTGTTCTCCTTGATTCGCATGACAATCGTGCGCGATAAACTGATTTCACTTCGTTTTCTGCGTTTGCGACAGCGCCAACGGAAACAGCAGAGTATAGCCAAGCGCGAAATCTCGACCGGCCCAACGTTTATTGCGGACATTCCATGTGTTTACTGAAGAAATAGGAGGTGAATAAGAGAGAGCGCTTGTGAAAAGGGTAACGAAGGCGATTAAGAAGCTACTGCTTCGCCTATGTGAACTCGGTGTGGTTAAGGGGCCCTTTAAATGCGGAGCCACTCCCATATCTAAAAGAGGGCAAGAAGAGTTGGGGTTTCGCATTCATTGACTTAATATGCTGCAACGAACCTTCACCTCTCACCGCCATCCCTTAGGTGCATTCTGTGCACGCTCATAGCTTCATGTGTAGCATATTTAGCACACTCATGCAAAGGAAAAATATTCGTCTTCTTGTTCTTCGGGTGCCTTGATGACGATCACTTATCATAATCAGTAAAAAAAAATTAGTGCACTTGACGTAACACAGGCGAATCCACTTGTAATAATAGCTAGAAAGAGAAGGACATAGATCAAAAGACAAGAATAAATAAATAAAACATAGGGAAAAAAGACAAAAATAAAGGGGAATTAGAAAAAAAAGAAATATAGAAGTGTAGGATTGATTTATATACGGGGTTTAACGTCCTAAACCACCACATGATTATGAGACGCCGCAGTGGAGGACTTTGAAAATTTCGACCACCAGGGATTCTTCAACGTGCACCCAAATCTGAGCACACGAGCCTACAGCAATTTCGCCTCCATCGGAAATGCAGCCACCGCAGCCGGGATTTGATCCCGCGACCTCCGGGTCAGAGAGAAGTACAGGAGAAGAAAAGTGATGAGAAACAATGAAAGCTGCCCCGATCCGCACTTCCTTTGGGCTTGACACCCCAAGTGTGAAGGTCCCTTAATTATTCTTTCATTTTGTAAAAGACATTGAGAAATACTTGTTGCCGTGATGAAAAATCGCATATGATCTGAGTTTTTAACGAAGGCGTTGGTTTTTAGTGCGTCTAATTAATTTTTACAAGCTCTTCACTGAACTCGCACACTTTGAAGTATATCCACAAGTTTTCAAATGTGATTAATTATTTACATAATATTTATACTAGAACATCTATAGAACACGTTTAATGCTTTTGAGCCCCCCTGATGCATAAACAGCTTTGCTGTAAAATACTTTTGCAGGAGTGAACACTTTTCCTTGTATAGATTATCATTGAACATTTTGTCATAACAAAATAAATGTATAGGCTGCGTTACGAAAAAAAATAATGGTGTTGCAGCCGTTAGATTCTTAGATGCCTTGAGCTTAGCGAGATTCCTAACATAGTACCTTGGTGCTGCTTAACTGAAAGTATCAATTATTCAATTTCACAGCATATGAATATTCGATGGTTTACAGAATATTTGTTGCGTGTCCATTGTCGACGCCGTACGTTCAATACATTCCTGTCTGTTAATAATCACGGGCATTTATATAAGTGAGGACTGATAGTGGAAAGTTGATTAAGATGCCGTGTTGTATGAAAGCGCACATTCAGGCAGTCTCCGTTTGTCGAGCTCTTTTCGTCCTTTGTCGGCACGCCCACTCTAATACGTCGTGGTGTGTGTCAGCCTCAATGATGCTCGGGGATGCGTGACGTAATTGAGAACACCAGCCGCAGACACCAGTCCATACACAGTAAAATTTTTTACACCCTTATAGGTGTAAAAAGGGTGTTATCGCAATTTACACCCTTTTTCAAAATTCACACCCTTTTTCTTTCGGACACCCTACAAGAAGGGTGTACAGGCAAAAAGGGTGTTGTTGAACAAGATGAAGGGTGTTAAGGGAAGGACTTAAGGGTGTACCCGTGCCACACGGGCACAGAAAATGACATTCGGTATATATAGCGAAGACACGTGCACTCAGTTCCCGAATGACATTTTTTCTCGGCGTTGCTGTTATGTCCAAAGCGAATGACATTGACTTGATGATTTCGATCGCACCACCTTCCTAGTGAGCATTGGGTGAGTATATATAGCAATAAAAAATAAACATGCGTTTACAAGCTTCATACACATCCAATGATAATTGAAAGAATAAATAAGCATATTACACTGCCGTTAGCTTTCGTTCATTAGTTTGTTTCACGACGTTGCAACCAACCATGGCAACTTAAGCCAAAGCTAGTCAGATCCACAGCATAAAAAGGAAATGGCGCCTGGCGCATTTATTTTACATTGCATATATACCAGCTGAAGAGAAGTTTTAGGCAGTTGTTTGAGTGATTGGTGTAAATAAGATCCGCGAAAAGTTTCCTTCTAGTCGAATCAAATGTCGTTTTATATTTCTCAATCAAATGAGTCCTGGCGATGACATTAGAGGACGAACGGCATTTGGGCGATTGCGATTTCGTTCATCCGTGATGTGGCACCACGCGAATGGCCTTCAATCTGAAAGCATTATAGGAGATAAATGCCATTTTTTCTGCCCGTGTGGCACGAGTATTAAATGCATCCATGCTTACATATTAAAAGACTTGAGTGGAGCAAAGTGTATGTTGTACTGCATTTTTTAAGATTATGGTGTCATCGACACCACACAACAAGGAAATCCTTTATAAAGCCATTGTCACAACGTTATTTTTGTAATATCTTTATTTTCATAAGAAAAGATCATGATATACACTTTTTGCTTCGCAGAAAACTGTACAAGAACAATCAAGAAAATGCACAAAAAATGAACACACACTCGCAAAGGTTCAACATGTGTGTAAATATTTTTATATTTACATGTGGAACAAATTTGGTATCGAAAGAAGGAGAGGTACTTTTGAAATAATTTTTCTACAAACGACACTCAAACGACATTCCGGAAAGTTCAAAAGGCTCAAATTCAACAGCCACGACGAGCGCACGCCGTTCTCACGCGCTACTCGAATATAGGATGTGCTTGATCAAGAAGGAGACGCCGCCATTACCACTTCCTTTCGGGAGCGCTGTTAGCACGACGACGGCTGCTGGCCCTTCTTTTTTACTTCTTTCTCCGGCGGCCGTGGCAGGGCACAGCGCCTTCGGGAAGAGGGGATGAAAGATGTAAGGAGACGAGAGAGAAAGAGTGGCAGCGTCTTTGGAAGGTTACGTTCGCTTGCAAGTGACGACTCCAGCAGCAAACGCGTCAGAGAGGTCGTGTCCATGTAAGCATGGTTTACCCCCTGTCCCTCTCCGCCCCCTCAAATTCAACGTAGAGAAGCGAGCGCGGAGGGAGATACCATTGCATATAGAAGGTGTGATGCTTCCGCACTTTCTCGGCATCTCTTTCCACACCCGCAAGCTTTCACTCCTCCGTCAGTACTCGTGAGTGCGCGCCATTTTGATAACTGCGCCGTTGAAAACGTGACTATCTGCGCCGTTCGCAGAGTGCTGAAGCGTTTGAATAGTATTAGGCGTGCATTTTCTTCACTCGCACTGAGGACTTTGGAACGTCAATTTTGTGCGCTGCGTCATCCGAGATGCCGCCGATCCGTTGTCTGCTGACTGTACCGCACATTCAGATAAAGCGGACGTACCACTTGGAAGAAGGTTCCGTGGTCGCCCTCAAACATGCGATTGCCACATGTCCTGTCCTTGGGTCGCAAGTTCAACTGTCTTGCAGCAAATTTCAGGTAAGTGACTGCTTATTTGTTCAACTGTGTATTTGTTGAGAGCGATAAGTGCTTTTAATCGTCGTTGAAAGCTGAGGCCCGTTTTTCTTTTTTTTTTTTTTTGCTGCGAGTTTGCGTAGTTTCGTATTTAAAGGCTGGGGATGTGCGCTTCTGTACTATTGTTAGTGGGGTCCGGTTTGCCGAAACAGTGTTTCTAAGAGGAAAACTAAGCGTGCAAGTTTTTGTATTATTTTACAACTCATGCGTTTTTATTGTCTGCCTCATACATGTGTACGCGTGCCCGAATTGACAGTATGTCGAAAGGCAACTACATGTTTCGCGTATCGACATCGTAGCTAGGCCTCACTGAAGGCTTGTCAGTGGTCGCAAGCCTTGTGTTTACGTTCTGACCGCATTAACCTCTCCTTGATGTAATTTAACTCACCCCTCCCACACACCACAACAACAAAAAAAAAACGTGTTGATACTCGAGATAACATCGGCTGCGATGTGGCCGAACGAGTTCGCCGTGCACTTTTAAACTTAGTTCGCTGAGCATGCGGCTGAACTACACTCGCTTCAACAAAGTTCGTTGATTTTGAACGGTTGGCAGCGCACACCACTTTTCATAGAATGCACAAATAAAGCATGAGAACGTAGTGAGGCGCTTGCTTTAATATTTTCAAGAATGTCTCTTTTGTTTTTATCGTACACAAGCCTGTGTTATCGTTGATCTAGAGTGTATTGTAAGTTGGAGCGCTCTCGAGTGTTTTGTATTGTTGAATTAACATATATAGCGTGTATGATGCGAGTTGTGGAGTTGTCTCAAGTGTACGTGAGGAGAATTGCATAGTGAGGGGATTAGTCGAAAATTTATTTCGAGTAAAGATGCCTATGCGTACCTGCGTGCGTGTTTGTGTGCGCGTGCGTGCGTGCGTGCGTGTGTGTGTGTGTGTGTGTGTGTGTGTGTGTGTGTGTGTGTGTGTGTGTGTGTGTGTGTGTGTGCAAGGCATTCCGGAGGCCGTGTCTCCAACAGGCCATGCGTGCTGGCAGCTGAGCCGTGTCTTCGCTATCTAGGAACATACAGTAGCGAACAAACCCTCATACATCTTTTTCAGTTCATTGACAATATACGGGGATGGTTTGCAGGTAATGGATCCTCTGTTCAATGAACTTGTCGACCTCGCTACTGAAGACAGCATACCCGATATGTCGAAAATCGTTCTTATGGTACAGCAAAAAAGTAGCGGGAATGAAGCGCCGTCATGTTCATCGTCACAGGTAAATTTTCCGAGTTTTACGTTCTTATTGTTAATATAATTAAGATTAAATGCTCTTTTATAAATATTTAAATTATCAGTTATTTAGTTTTGATGATCAGTTGCAACTGTTGGCGCGAGCGATTTTCGGCAGCGAGAGCAAAACGGCACGAAATGTCTGAGTTTGTTATCAGCTTATGTCATTCTAGAAGTCCGATGTTAAGTCCTAACGCCTGATGCTCATCTCTAGATTAGTTATCGAATATGGTACAAATCCTTTGCGGATGTTACGATCTAGCTGCTTTTTAAGTTTTACCGGCTTATGTTGATTTGAGTACATTTTGTTGGAATATTATTTACGGCTAGGGACACGTATGCTGTGGGTGAAAGAGGAAGTGTGATTGTGAGCAGCAAAGCAGGAGGACTTGAGTCAAGCGCAGTGTTTCTTCGCGGAAGGTGCGGGTGAAATCGGCTTTGTGGAATAGCAGGGAATGAATTAATAAATTCTGAAGTATTTTATTTAAAGTATTATTTAAATTAAAAAAATTTGTATTGAAGAAATTGTTTTATTATCTGCGCTTTTCGCACGCTGGCATGCAAGGCCCTGGTTATGTTTTTTTTTTTTTGCGTGCGACACAAACTTGCGTGCACTCACGCAATTTTAGGAGGGTGCCTTTTTTTAACCATTGCAGTTTTTTTAAAATAAAAAGTCTATGATACGCTGGTTCCTGTCGTTTTCGCACAAACTCGATGGCGAAGCGAAAATAACTTTCTGCAGCTAAAATGACGACCACGTGACAAATTAAAAACTGTTCAATTAGCATTTTAATTGTGGGCTTTAGTGCCGTATATATCAAAGTTCTAGTGGGAAATCATAAGTAATCGCACCTGGCCGGCACGAAGCACAGCATAATACCGAAATGACCCGTGGAGCGGAAATGGTGAAACTTAAATGGAATGGTGCGCCAAAGCAGAATCTGGTCGTAAAAAGTCTGCAAACATCTTAAAATACCCAAGTAGACAGCTTATCATTTGTCTAAGATGGGTGGTCCTGATATTTTCCGTTCTGAAAATATAAAAAGACTAAAAAAAACATTTCACTTCTCTGCAAAAAGAAATGGCAAAGTGTCTGCGCCAGAGGTTTATTCTTAGACAGGTGAAAAGTTTCATTGCAGTTTTCTTGTGCACAGTGCATAAATAGTACGAGAGAGCGTGTACCAGTTCATGGAAATGCCGATTTTTTCTTGCACTACCAGGTGCAATGAAAAGCTTAAACCAGCTCTGCCGTTATTATTGTAAAATACCTACCACCTCGTCATTGCAATGTATGAATACCAACTTGCCGCTGCCCTGTATGCTATGCATTGTATCTCAATATTGTATATTGTGCATTCCCACCCCTGAAACTGCCCGCGAGGGCTTACAGTAATATAATAAATAAATGATGGCAGTATAAGCTATAGCAATAGGTTTACAGTTTCTAGAATGTGTTGTGAAAGACTGGCGTGTATTTAAATATCTCCATGCTATAAGCAATATCGAGTACATTTACTGACCAAAGTAATAAAAGATGGAGCTCTCAATTATCGTAACACTGCAACTTTACGAAATACAGCTTATTAAGTTGCCCTTGCTATGTTATTACTCACTACTCACCAACAGCTAGCGAAGTACCATTGAACAACACTGCGAATGGAGTGCAGCGGAGTTTATTAGGGTGCCTAATGAGACATAAAAATGTTGTTTATAGCCCATAGTATGGATCTTTACTTGTATTGCGGGTCTTGTTAGCTTTCTGAAATGTCAATGAGGTATTGTAAATGAGTTCTTTGGAGATCCGCAAGGTGGCAGAAGGTATTTTGCAAGAACCAGGCCAGTTTGCAGAAATGCGTATACTAACGCATTAGTGATTACGATTTTCTGACCTCCTGGTTGAAAAATGGTTCTCAAGCAAATGCCTTCAGTCTTGTGAGAGGCCATGGATTGCAGATATAAGAAATTTATTTGCCCCTTCTGCGAACATATTAAAAGAAGAAAACAAAAAATATCCTCTTTGCTGAGTTTGTGGAAATTTTAATAATTTGTTTTTTATTGAAATGGTGCCACTGTTTCAACTCAGTGGGGTTCGTTTACTTCACTAATGGCATGAAAGTAATACCTTAAAAGTGACTTCAATGAAACCAATATATGGGATTTCTCAAAAATGAAAAACGAGACCTAAACAGCCCAACATAAACAGTTGTAGCCATCTGGCATCAGGGAACAAAAGTATCATGAATATAGCCTTATTATAATAAGTTCAATTGCAGACTAACGTCTGCTGATAAAAAGTGCAGTCATCATGGCTCATTTCGTTACCAAGTCTCATGACAGATACATGCTCATCGACAGTAGTGAAATGGTTAATGTGCTGGTTGTCCTCCCCTTATTTGTATCATGTAAAAGTTGCATTATTGTTCGTTCCCTTGCTTTCAGGGCACATTACAAGCTGTTGTTGAAACTGGTGAGCAAGACACACCAAGCATGGTCATTGAGCCTGTCGAGCGGTAAGGGCTTTTTTAGGATCATTTGTAATTGCAGTATGAACAGCTATGAGTTCTGGGTAGAGATGTGCAAATATTAGTTCACCATATTGAAGCAGTTTCGAGTAATAAAAACCAGGTTGAATTGAATATATTCAATTCGGAATGATACATCAACAAACTAGGAAAAAATCAACTTGAAATGAAAATTATCACCAATGAGCATTACATAAGAATTATGCAGTGTTGTTTGAGGGTACCTCATTTGCAGTTATTTAACATGTTTGTGAAGGAATGATAGTTGTTTGGTATAATTAGAGAGCTGTGACACGAATGTACGTCACCATTTCTCTAGACAGTAACAACAGCTGTTCACCAGTCACCCTAGTGCTTATGTGTTGATCTTGTCATCATTGCTTAATCCTTTAAATAAACTTGAAAAACTTATTACATAAACTTTGCAACATTACTCGTGGCTATATAAATATTTGTGTTCATTTGGCATGTATTATTACAAAGTCGTATTCTGTTGAAATATTTCAAATAATGTAATTTTTTAATTGTATAACTTTCTAATCAAAAGCATTATTAGAAGATAAAAACACTGATTGGTTAATGACTTGCAGTCTTCTCAAAGCCATGGCAATTTTAGAGCTACACTTACACATGTGCGTTCAGGAATTGCAGAAGTGCAATGAATATGCAGTAAGAAATGCATGTTCTAGTCATGTTCTTCTTATCTTCCATCTTGATCAAAACTACTTGAGCTGTTTTTATAGATGTGAGGCACACTTAAAGCATTGCAATAACAATCCAGCCATGACATTCAACTTGACTGTTAATATCTATTGCAAACTCACTTTTTCAGCTTCTATAGCCTTGAAAACACTCTAAATCAAGCAGACAAGCTAGATGTTTTATTGCGAATGACTCATAAACTTTTAAACTGCCGATATATAAACTGCTGTCTAGCACTTTTGGCCTGAGTGTGTTTGTGTTGCTTTTACTGCAGGTTTCTTGTTGTTTGTTTTATTCAGCCCAAATATCTGCTAATTTCTGGCTTTATTTTTAACGTGTGCATGAGCAGAGAGATTACCCGAAGTGTTATTTTCCTTGCGGTAATTTGCATCATGATAAATTTTTTACAGCCCACTCGGCTCAGGGGATAATGATGGCATAAATTTTAAACTACCCAGCCTTGGTGCCCTCCATGAAAAAGTGATAAGCTCTCCGCTGCTAACACCTTCTACATTCAGGCAAATCATTGACATCCTGCACAATGAAATGGCCAAGTCAACACTGTGAGTACACAGAGGTGCACATTTAAATATAGTGTCCTGCCCTGTTAAACTTCAAGTTGTGACAGCTTAAGCTGCGATGCTCAACTGTCTTGCAGGTATCCAACGCGTTGTTTCTACAGTAAGGTGACAACCCTGCTCCTTGACAAGTATCCCCAGCTGAAAGATGTAATTGGAAGTGGGCACGTAAGTACTGTTATGCTGTAAGATATTCTGTGATACTTATGCTTAATCACATTGCTCCCTGATGTTCCTTAAAGCTCCTAATCACATTTAAAAGCAGTCTTGGGTACATTTTTTTCAGTGTTGCACAATGCATTGATATAACAACATTCACTTTAATAGAACATATGTTCAATTTTGAAAATTAATTTTGCATTGAAATGACACTGTATGATGCTTACAATTACAAAAAGACTATTGTGCACAGATTCATGTGTAAAATCGAAAACAAAAGAGAAAAAGAGGGTTCTTCATTAGCTGGGACTCGAGGGGTCATTATAGTCTTAAGCTTCATATGCTGTAGGGTGTAATTGGTAGTGGTCACTTTTCTTATTCGCAGCCGCTGTCATGAGTAGCAACAAGTTGGGTCTTGTATATGGCCGCATACACAATACGAAGGCTCAAATGTCCTGCAGCTACATAAATCACCAGACGAGTGGATAAGTGAGCGTGCTACTAAATTTTAGTCAGGGTATTGCAGCAGCCATTTATCTGTGAGACATACTTTTTAATAAATAAGCAGTGCTGCTAGACATTTTGTGAATGTTTTGCAACTAGTGAATGCTTTGAATATATTTATCAAAAGTGCATTTCATTACCAGCAGTTTTAAAGTCACTGATATCAGTGGGCTTATAGTGCTTGAATTTTAGTTTGTGTATTTATTATGAAAAGAAATTCATTGAAAAGGCCAGGTATGCATGTATCATTGTGTACATGAATATATTGAGCATCTCCATTTTCTGAATTGACAGGACTCCTGGAAAGTAGCCCTCCGCAATAAGTATAAAAACCTAAGAAGGAAGCTGGATGATCATGAAGATGTGTTAGCAAGTCGCCAGAAATTCGGTGCCCAAAAGAAAACAGGAGGCACCACTGAGCTTCAAAGGAAAAAAGCTGGGAAAATGGTGAGGATAGTTTAATACCGTGCTCACCGAAAATCCCACCCATTTGTAAAAGCTGCATGAATAGTCTCATCAATAGCTTGCAATTTGATTCCAATTCCAGAGTGTGAGCATCACAGATCTAACAGCAGAAGATGATGACAGTATTGCCAAACATGAAGATCGACTTGTTTTGGAAACCAAAAAACTATTGCCGGATGAGCAACTCGTGGAAAAGTTAATGGCCTTGACAGCTGGGAAGAGGCTTCCTGACGTTGCGACGAAAACCGTTCATGATGTGAAAAAGAACTACCCCTATATGATGGACTTTCAGCGAGTACGTTGGCTTTTCTTTACTTCTAGGTAGGGTACATCTGTGGTTTATTAACTGTATTGCTGTAATTATATAAAAGTGAAGAAATTTAATTGGGTAAGAATACAACTTGTTGCCACTGGGGTCCCAGCCTGCAACCTTCAAGTAACTCATATAATGCTCTGCCAGTCGAGCTACAGTGCCAGCCTTCCTCCTGTACACTTAATTGGGGTGGATGTGTGCACTTAAACTTGGGAGTGTTAGCCAGTGCTGCATGCTCTATAAGCTATTGCGATGAGTGTTGAACACCTTTTGCCTGCTGCCACCCCGCAGCATATTACTTTTGTACTATAGCTGCAGTTTACCAATAATCCCTCACATACTTTCCGAAGGCACCAAGTCTGCCAGAACAAGACTCTTGCTCTAAACGCAAGAAAAAAGTGGAAACATTAGGCCTCGGTTTTCTTCGTATGACGCCGCTTCAATGAAAACGAGCTGACAGTAAAGATAAGAAAAACATGGGGACGTGATTTCGAGCACATACTGTATAGTTATTTGAATGTTGTCTATTTCATTATCGAGGAGATATATTTAGTGGGCAATGTTCTATTTGTATTTCGTAGAGAGATTGTTTGGGTGCCGCCAGAAACTATTTTAGAATATATGAAAAATTATGTAGGTGAGGCTGCTCATCATGAAAGGCCTGACATTTTGTTTTATAATGTTGCTCGCTGTTTATTCTATGCAGTTCTGCAATGACTTTACAAGACTGACCGACATAAAACCAGTCGGGAAGGTTTCAACAGCCATCGATAAGTTAACCCAATTGGCAGGGATGAAGAAAATACGTTGTAGTGAAGACACTAGGCAAATGTTGGAGAGAGCACGTCAAATGGACCCCAAAAGGATGAGAACAAGACGTGAGTTCATGAGAATTTTATTTCAGCTTGGATTGTACTCGATACTTGAAATATGATTGTGTAAAAACAGGGAAGACAACAGACAAGGATAACTGCGTACTTGCTAGGTTTGTAAGACATTAGATTACAGTTTTTCGGTAACCCCATAGTTAATTTTCCACAATGTAATATGCATGCACTCTCCCATATACTATAATATTTATCAGCAAATAATTTTATTGTTTTCCCTATCGTGGATCCTAATAATTGCCTGTCTTTCATGAAACTAGCCCAAGCTGTTCAAGGAGCTTTTGCCACCTAAATCAGAGTTACTCTGGCTTACTCCTAGTGAATTCAATCAGTTACATTGCTCAGGTCACATACTTTTTTAGCACTAAGTTCTTGTGTTGACCTACTTTTTTTTGTGGTACTTAAAATTGCAATCTGCATTATAATAAATAGCTCATCTTCATTCTAAAAATATAAATCTGCAGAGAGAGTAAAACATGTTTGTGTACTTATGTATTACTTACCTTTTGTATACCTTTTATGATTTTTAAAAAATTCAGTGCTTTCAAATTTATTGTTTACTTTATTTGTGTATCATTTCTTGCATTCTTGTAATGACACAGCTTCTAATAAATGTAGAAGCTGAAGGAAAATGGCCCTGAAAAGTCTGTTCGCAGCACACACATGCAAGGGTACTTGAAATGTTGGCAGCCACACATCCTTGCTCTCGTGAAGAGAGATTTTATGCAGCTCCTCACTTAAAGGCTAGCAGAGTGGAATTGCGTCCATATGTATCAGAAGGCTAACTTATCACAGGAGGTCAAATCACAGGAGGCTGTATTAGGAGGCCATATGTATCACAACCTGTAAGAAAAGTTGTTTCAATGTGCCCTAAGTTTGAACTTCAGAGCTCATTTGTGTGTGCTGTCCATGTTTTCTTCAAGTGCTACATATCTGATAAATGGATGAACCTGTACAGACTGCCAACTTTACACTTACTGTTTTGAACAGCATAAAGGATGAAAGACACATATGATAGCTGAACATCAGAAATGCCTGTATGGAGTCCTTTTTTATGTTTTTATTGTTGTTTAATCCTTGAGCTCACATTATCTGCCCCAACTCACCCTTTTGATACATTTCAATACACTTGCACCATTGGCCCTTTCCTAAATGTAACACCCTTTCTTAGGGCCACGAAGATATTTTCTCACGAGGGAATAGTTAGCAGTATGCTGATGGCCCTCCTTTGTAGAAGTCACGTCTAGAATTAATCTATATTCAAAGAAAGTGTAATTAACAGATTCATTCCTATGAAGAAATGTTTTCACGTGTTCTGTGAAAGCTGGCTATCACATTTGTGTTTTATACAATTGTGATTGAAGTCAACACATTACCCTTCTAGCCAATTTCTTGAGAATATGCCACTTCTTTACAAATTTGTTTGACCAAGCTTGCATCTTCTCCTTCCCAGGCTTATTTAGAAAGCATTTTAGATGTTGAAATGCATGCTTCATTGCCTCTTATGACAGTTTGAAATTATTTATTACTGTCAAATAAAATAGCCTCACATAATTTTATTTTTTGCAGATATTATGGCACTTGTAGCTCTGAAAATCGTCTGTGAGAATGTGAAGGAACGGTCAGCATACTCAATTTTATTTGTGCAAGAGACTGTGAGTATATGAAACACTGAGTAGCTAATGTCACTGCATGTTAGCAAATGAAAATTTAGACAAACTGCATCAAAGCGAACTCACTATTGCTAGCAGAGGCCAATGGTCAAGTTATGACAAAGCAATGCCAGTACAGTTACACCCCTTTATCAGAGGCATGCTTCGGATGGCAATTCTTGTCTTTTATACAAGATGTCTCTTATAAGCAGGGTGCCTCGTAGGCATTTTCTTATCAGCCCATATTTTAGTGTAGGCACACTGGTGTCTCGGATACCAGTTTGTTTCTTATATCAGTGTCTCTTGTAAAGGGGTTTGACTGTAATACCAAATTTAGAGATGGCGATAGATAACGTGTAAAACATAATTTTTTGGCTGTAAGCTGTGACCGACGAAATGAAGGAATTGTGAAGGTCAGTCAGCCAGTATTTTTTTTTTCAAGTGCATGACATTGATTTGCAATTTTGCGTCCATATGCTTTAAATGATGCCTTGCAATACTCACTTTAGGTTGCATTTTACGTCAAGATGGTGTTTTTTCATTCTAAACATTGTTTCGCATGAGGCTTTGCAAAACAGCAGTAACTCCTGCTAGCATATACTTTCTCTCTCTATCTGATCAGTGTAATCACGAATTAGTTTTGTGACTTGATTCCTTTAATGTATGAATGCAAGGCCCCAGGCTCATTTTATGCTTTGTTTGCTTTGTGACATGCCTTGCTTTTAAGCAGTGTGCATTAAATAAATATACACAAGGCTATCCTCCGCCACCATTATTGTGTCTGCAAAACAAGAGACATTTTCAAACTCGTGAGTGCTCCTTAACCTTATGCACTCCATACTCGGGTATAAAAAATCTGAGTATCAGGTTAAATACACAGACATAGAATAACAGTGTGATGAGCGTTATAGTTGCATTTATTAGATTTGTACAGCAAGTAAAAATAAATTTCAAGATGAAGCAAGGATGAAAATATATGGTACAATCTACATCACCTTCTCCTGCTGTTGTTCTTTTTTTGTGTGTGTCAAGGAATGTTTTTATTTTTCCAGGAAGAAGAAATTTTATTTTTCAAGTATAACACAGTTATTTTTGTTAGCTGATGTAGAATAACTAAATATGTCTGAAGAAATTCTTGAACGAGGCTTTCTTTCTTTCGCTATTCCCTAATGAGGCAAGTTTTGTGCACGCTAAGGGGCAGTGAATACCAGCTTTTTGTTTGTGTATGTCGAATGGATGCATAAATTTTCATTGCTTTGCATTGTGATTGCCTAGAGAACTCGTGACACTACAATTGTTCCCTTCATTTTGTCAGCTGCATTATATTGTTTTAATCTCCCAGTTAAACCATAGTTATGGTGCACACATAGAAATTGTTGTTAATGATAGATATCACATCTGTAATGCTAAAGTTGTGTCTTTTAAAGTGCTCTAAACCTGTTTTTTAAACTGTACAGAATTTGAAGTAAGCCACTCAGTGAAGTCTTACGCATTCTCACTTTGCCTATACAGGACGACATGCCAGCAACGCCATGTGTATCTTATAATGGGGCCATCCTGAAGATGCACAGTTGTTCTGGCTGATGGTAGACCAGACGAAGTGTTTTCAAGTCACTAATGCAGAGGAAGGACTTGTCGCAATTATGTGTGCAAACTGGTTGTTCAATCTCCAATATGCTTGTAAAGCGTTCAACACCCTTGTCGTCCTAGAAAGATTTTTTCTTCAGCTCGAAAAGACAACACCAAGATCTGTTGTTGCGAAGTTTTTAAACATTGTCGTGAAATCCACATAATCATATGATAATGCCCATATGGTAATGTTTTTTTTCACATTTGCCTTAATGCATATTTTTTATGTTGGATTGTATTAGTGATTGAAAACTCATTGATTATTATTGCCGTTTTAGTGCCGCATTATTTATTTTGCATTTGGCTTCACAAGTCGTGCAGTTTCTCCTTTTGCATAGCCGGGCCCACATGCTGTCCAATAACCCAGGTCATTGTACTTTTTAGTTATTACCATATTACATTCCTGCAAGACAGAACTATTGTGCAATAGTTTTCGCTGCTTGTTGCTAATCTAAATACATTACACTGCCTTGGTTATGTTCAGATAGATTATGTGGCCATTATGATATAATGCCATTGCAAGAAGCATTGTGTAAAATTTTGCAATCAAACGTAAATAATTTAGAGAAAAACTGCCTTGTGGTACTTGTTCTTGCTATTTAATCTGCACAAATCCATATTTATTTCTAGAATGCATCAAAAACAGATTTCTTTAAAAGTGAAAGCGATGCGCATCTACATAGCATGTTGTTTTTATATATGCACAATATTTTTACTTGGTAAGACTGAACCTGATTTAGCCATGCCAGGTTTAACTTGCAAATTAAGTTGCTGAAATATGTGTATTCTCTGCCATCCTGCAA